TGGGGGAGATTGGGGGGATTTGGTGGTTGGCGAAATTGGGGGAGGTTTGGCGTGGTGTAGGAGGTTTGTGGTGCGTTTGCAGCCGAGTGAGGTGGAGCGAGGGGGGTTTAAATCGGTAGGCGCCAAATTTTTGTTTAAGAGTTGGAGTTTTGAGGAAGTTTGTGAGTTTTTGAGTTTTTGAGTTTTTGAGTTTGTGGAGTTGGGGGTTTTGGGGTTGTAGTGTTGGTGAGAGTGTGGGGGAGTCAGCAGAGGAGTCAATCAAGGTTTGGCGAAAAGCGGTGACTCAAGTATTTTGTGTCATCTACGAACATTTTTGAAGAGAACCTTATGGAAATGGAAGTTTTATCGAATTCAGCGGAGTCAATTGATTCTATCTTGGTGTGCTTCATGGTCTACTATGGCTGCGAAATGGGTGGTGATAATGAGTATCAGATCAGTGAAACGACGAGGTGTCTGTGATATCAATCGGTTTTTGAGAGATTTAATTTCTGTTAAAGTAAGTTGCATTTCATATAGCAAATCCATTGGGGCTCTTTCACTGATCTGTCAACGAATCACCCTGGTGTTACGCAATTATGGCTGCGAATTAGGAAGCCAGGGTCCCTCTCATTGGCCTGGTACACCTGATGCATTTAGCGTTTAAAAAGAATTTAGATCCCAGCTCTAGACTGAATTCTTGAAATCGATATATTTCTCCAAACGCAATGGGTCCAAATTAATAACTACTGGCATGCTCCTTCTCCCCTCTTTAAATGGCTGCGAAATACACCTACAAGACCAGATCTCAAACGACCAACCCCCAAAATCCATTAAATCCATAGCAAAGACCAATTTTCCCCATATAAAGCCGATTTTTGCATAATATCAAAAAAGTAGGCCATACCGGTATTCCTCGGCTCCTCGGCTCCGCCTCCTCCCATAGTCAGTCCCACCACAGCCCAACCACCACCCCAGCACCCACAATATTCACCAACCAAAAAAGAAGCAAACCTTTTTTCCCATAAGAAACCTATCATCAAATTCAACCCCCCAAAGATGGCCAATTCCAGAGAAATTCGTACCCCCACACGTGACCTATCAACCCCATGATACCCATGACAGGTGAGTCCTCCTCCTACCCCAGACTCCATTGAACGCTGGAAACACACCAAAACACCACTTTTCATGTCACAAAACACACAGGAGCCCGACTCCTCGCCCGACTTGGCAATTGTCGACCTCGTGACCAAATCCGTGCTTTCCAATTACACCATAGACGACGAGATCCTCAGAACTTGGCTGACGGAGCTTGCAGATGTCGCTGGAGATAGCAAGCTTTTGGCCGCTGCGATACAAAACAGCATCTTGGTGCTGTTGCCTTTGGAAAATGCCTTTTTCAACCACTCCCACGAGTCCGCCTGGTCCAAATGCTTATCTATGTTGAACGACCTCGATAACGAGGTGTACCTGGACTTCAAGCTGATTATCTACGAGCTTCTCCTCCAGGCGATACGCTCCAATACCGCTCGCTTGCAGATGCTAGAATACGATTTCATAGATGTTTTTGCCGACGACTACCTCGCCAATCTAGAGGACCTCCATCTGCCTCAAAAAGCGGCGCTTCTTTCGGCATTGATAGAGTTGAACTGCCCGGTCAAGACGCTCAAGAAGCTTCTAAGCCCGCTCCTCGAAGGATCGGCTAAAGTGCCTGCTTCGTCAAAACTCATCTTGCTTGAATATCTCACCTCGATTGTCAGAGAGTTTCCTTCCCATTTCACGGCTCTCACACTCAACAACTTCCGCAACAAAAACTTGCCTCTTCCGCTCAGCAAAGAGTTCAATTCCAAGTGCTTTACCGTGCAAGCGTGGCTTAAAGTTGACGATCCAGTTGAGAACCTCGAGGAAGACGGTTTCAGCGTCATTCCTCTTTTTCTGCTTGCAGACGCTTCAAGCGGTGCTTCAACGTCCATACGAGTCCAGCTTTTGAACTACACCCAGTTCATGGTGGAGGTGGTGAACAAATCAACCGGCTCGAGAATGCAGTATTCCTTCAACCAGCACCTTGACCGTCTGAGCCCGACGAACCAGGGCTTCACGCTCTTCACATTGACATACGACTACTTGAGGAATATCAATCTTTTCATCAATGGCCAGAAAAGCGAGTCGATTCCGTGCACTTCCATTGCAAAGGAGATTGGCTCCTGGAATAAACTCTACATTGGCAATCCGGAGTCCGAAGATTGCCTGAAAAGCAAAAGGGACGAGCTCCTTCTCAAAGACTTGATAATTCTAGATTCCGCCTTGAGCGAAGAGTGGATCCTTACTTCTTGCGCCTTGGGCGTCGGCTTCAATTGGGGCCTGAAAGACCTCACAGAGGAGACCATCCCAGACTTGTTCAACCACTTGAATCCGGTCGAACTCACGGATTTGGGTGCCCAGTTCAGCACCTTGGGCTTGAGCGGCGATGCACGCAGACAGCACTCAGGAAAGTCAAAGTCGGACGATCAGATAGAAGTTCTCGAAAAACCCGACATTGTTCATTGCCTCAACAAACTGAAGTTTAGCAGGTCTAGCATTCTTTTTGACAGCAATGAGTCCGGCTTTCTCGACCATGTTCGGAAAGCAAAGAGCAAAGAGTACATCGCTTTAGTTCCTGATTCGCTTAATGGCGGGTTGTACTGCCTCGGAGGAGCCAGTTTCCTTCTTACCTTGGTGGATACCATGTCTAACGATCCACAGCTTGAAAGGGCAGACAGAAAGCAGCTTACCTTCAAGTCGCTTGAATTGCTACTAGAGTGCTTGAGAAACAGCTGGAGAATCTACAAAGAATTTGAGAAAAACGACGGCTTTTGCATTTTGGTGCTTTTGCTTAAGCAGTACAAGGAGCGCTACAATGGTCGTCTAGAGTTTGACGGAAGTCTTCTCGAACTTTTCCAGTCGTTTGCAGGGTACGACGCAAATACCAAAAGAGGCTTCATCAAGAATGCTTTAGCCTTCAAGCTTCTTGTGCTAGATTTCCATCTTTACGACGGCACAGTCGACCAGGAGCTTCTCAAAACCTCCATTGTCGATATGGTGAGCTCTGTTGAGACCAGAGACCACAATCTCCGAATGCTTTCGAGGTTGAAGCTCCTCAAGCGTCTTGTCCACTTTATGGAATTCAAGCTTCTTAGTAAGAAGGCGTCAGACAAGGAAATCGAGGAGTTCAGTGATGTTCTTGGCTCCATTCTTCGGACTGATATCTCCCTCGACACTATCAGGTCCTTCTCTCACTTCATCATCTTTGCCATCTACAGAAGTGAAGAAAGTGGTTTGATTTCCCAAAAAATCGGCTACGCTGCTTTGGACTCCCTTACAAGTCAACTCTGTGACTCCACCGCTTCAGTCAGACAATTGAAGAAGTTTTCTCGTGCCCTCACCATTCATTGGCTTCTTTTGTTGTTGAACTTTCGTTCTGGAGGTGACGATGTGGAGGCCAAGCAGTTTGACAAAAAAATTGTATGTCGTGGACTTACTCTCCTTATTCGTCTTTTGAGAATTCTTGGTCCCCGTATCCTGAAAAAGTTCTTTCAGTTGAGCAGGGGCCTTGATGTCTTGACGCATTCTCTCAAGGTTTGGTGGAGCGATGACGAGATCATCAGCTTGCTCTTTTTAGCAGGTTTTGGGTTAGATACTCGTGTTGAGGAGCTTCCTATTTCGACTCTTCCCCAGATTCTTGAAGTCGATAAGGTAAAGAGCATCAAGACATTGGTGGCACCCGAATTCATTCTTCTATTGAACAACATGGTACTCAGTTCCATGTACGATTTGAGTGTCCGTCATGGCAGGGTACTCAGTGTTCCCAATTCCCCTCAAAGATCTCAACACAAAAAACTGCAAGAGGAGGAGAATTTTGCCATCACATTCAATGCTATCCACCTCATCAACCAGTATATTGATACGATAAAGGCCGGATTCAACGTATCACCTGCTTTGACCTCGTTTTTCACGAGCAGAGAATGGCTTGAGGGAATTTACGAATTACAGGGCCATCTCAAGCTTTCCGTTGATTGGTCTGAACCAACTTTCAAGAAGAGCTTCCGGAAGGCCTCGGAGAAGCTCAGTGCTGCTTTAAGTGACATTTTTATATCAAAGATGCACGACGTCAAGATACTTTTCAGAATCTTGGAGCCTCTCAATGAGAGCACCCTAAAGATGATATTGGATTCTACGTTCCCGAGAATATTCAGCCATGTGAACCATTTCTTCACTGATTCTAGTTCAATGGGAAACGAGGCTGATTTATTGGACGGAACATCGGATCTTCTCTTGTTTTACTTTGAGCATTTCATTGACGCAAACTACTACGTGAGCAATGAGGATATGGACACGTTCGTTAATGCTGCATTGAATGTTCTTGAGGCCAACAACCAATCCAAGCGCCGCCAGCATGGCCAACAGAAACTCAAATCGGTGACTGGCCGTGCTTTGGTGCTCAAATTATCCAAATTTCCATCAATAGGTACTGATCCCGAAAGCGAGACAGAGGGAGAGGAACAACTCAAACAGCATCTCGACGAGGTTGTGAAATTTTTGCTTTACAAGCAAATCGTTTTCCTTGACCCTGAGGTGTTGAACGAAACACTTTTGGCTCAGGTCTTTGAGGTTTTGATTGTTCAATTCTCGAAGCTCAAGATCGAGAAGCAGTTTGAGATAGCGGAGCATTTCATCAACTTTTTGAGGGCAGCTTACATGATGCGTGAAAGCACTTTCGATAGCGTTATTGAGCAGCTCACCAGCGCTTCAGACTACTCAAATTCAGACAATCTCATTCGAGACTTCCTCAACATTCTTGTCAGTCGCAATGATGAAGACATCATCAGACACCTTCACAGATATCCAGCGATCAAGCACATCTTCTCCAAGAATCTCCATTTTAGGTTGAGCAAGTTGAAGGATGTTGGCAAGATCAACGTTCTCGAGATGACTCGAGTCATGCTTAACAATGGTGGTCGTCTAGGCTACATGGACACCATCTACATCAAGAGCTTTGAAAAGGATTGCGAGAAGCTTAGAGTGAAGATTATCAACGAAGAGCTCACAAACCATAATCGTGAGTTGCAGGATATCGACGACAACAACAACTTCTTCTCCACATCCTTTGCAAACCTCAAGTCAGAGATCACGAGATTGTTTTACCAACATGATCTTGCTCCACCTAGTTACATGTTGGACTACATTGAAGGAACAGACAGAATGAGGAAGCTTTTGGTAATTGAGGACCATTTGGCAGAGAGTGATAAGCTCACCTACTCCATTGACATTCCTGTCAAGAAAATCAAGGCGGTTGAGATGGATATGAGTGATTTCCAGAGTTACGAGTATGCAATTTCCCAAGCAAATGTGGGCGAGTTGTCTCTTGTGGATAATCCAGAGGACGATTTCGAAGAGATTGAGATTCCATCTGAAGCTGGCGGCCCTGAAGGCACAGACTTTGAAGATAAGAATCGTCGTGTTTTGAGAAGTCTTTACATGGGCGATCAGATCCAGCATGTCTGGAATATCTCTCGGATTAACGGACTTGAGATTGTGGAAAGCTTGATGATCTTGGGAGTGACGCATCTATATCTCATTGAGAACTACTTCCACTGCTCTGATGGAAATGTCATTGACGCTTGTGATGCTCCTCTGGAGTTGAGGGATCCTTATCTTCACCTCATTAACAGCCAGTCAAATGGCACTAGTGGCAATACGAAAACCCACAGAACCAAGAGCTGGTCACTTGAAAAGTTGAGCTCCATCACGAAGAGAAAGTTCTTGTTGAGAGACATTGCACTTGAAATGTTTTTCAGTGATGGTGCCAGCATTTTGATCACCTGTCTTTCGAACAAACAGAGAAATGTCGTGAACAACAAGCTTCTGCCTTACGCTTCTGGGAAAGGTTTGGATAAAGATTTGGCGATGACGCTCGAAAACTCATCCCAAATGTCACACAGCAACTCTCAGTCCAATAACAGTTCTTTGACATCGAGACTCACTTCGGCCTTCACCAATAACTTCAATGCCAATTCGGGAATAGCCAGTGTGACAAAGAAGTGGCAGCAAGGAGAAATGTCCAACTTTTACTACCTCATGTTGATTAACACCATGGCTGGTCGAACTTTCAACGATTTGACGCAGTATCCTGTCTTCCCGTGGGTACTTGCGGACTATGAAAGCGAGGAGCTCGACTTATCCGACCCCAAGGTTTTTCGTGATCTTTCCAAACCCATGGGAGCCCAAAATGCCGCAAGAGCACTGCAATTTGCAGAACGATACGAGGCATTGAGCACATTGGACGACTCCTCCTCGCCTCCGTTCCATTATGGAACTCACTATTCCTCGGCCATGATTGTTTCTTCCTACATGATACGCTTGAAGCCTTATGTTCAATCATACCTCTTGCTTCAAGGAGGCAAGTTTGACCATGCCGATCGTCTTTTCTATTCCATTGAGAAGGCCTGGTCGTCAGCATCAAAGGACAACACCACAGATGTGAGGGAACTCACTCCGGAGTTTTTCTACCTTCCTGAATTTTTGGAGAACCAGAACAACTTTGAGTTTGGAGCGTTGCAGACAGGCAAGGTGATCCATGATGTGGAGCTTCCCAAGTGGAGCAAAGGAGATCCTAAAATCTTTGTTGCAAGAAACAGAGAAGCGTTGGAAAGTCCCCACGTTTCTGCAAACCTTCACAAATGGATTGACTTGGTCTTCGGCTATAAACAGACGGGTGAAGAAGCAGTTAAAGCTTTGAATGTGTTTCACCATCTGTCTTACGAGGGTGCAGTCAATTTGGATGATGTTGTTGACGATGTTGAGCGCCGAGCTGTTATCGGTATGATCAACAATTTTGGCCAAACCCCAATGCGCATATTCAACAAGCCTCATGCTGCAAGGGAGGTGTTGAACGGTCCAGATTTGTATCTTCAGATGCTTGACACGCAGAAACACCCTCCATCCAGAACTTTTGAATCGAAGCTCAACATGCCTATCGAGAAATTGGAGGTCAGCGCCAAAACAAAGAAGTGGATTGGCAGGCCTTCCTGTGTCTCGTCTGAGGACGATTTGTTGATAAGAAAGCCGCTGCTGCAAAGACTGTTGGTTGGAAGCGGCTCGCTCATCATCAACACTTCATCGTTCATGAATCTACACCTGAGCAATATCACCGCCATTGTTCAACTTGGCGACAAAACGTTTGTGACGGGTGCCCTGGATGGCGTAATCCAGGTCTGGAAATACTTTGCCAAACCACATCCTACCGTCCGTTTTCAGCACATTCTCAGAGGCCATGAGAGCGAAATCAAGGCGGTCAAATACAGCAAGACGTTTAAGATCGGAGTCAGTCTTGACAGCGACGAGAATGTCATTGTGTGGGATTTCTCCAGGTTCATGTTTGTGAGGAAACTCCGTGCTGGAAACTCCAAGAGAAGCATTGCTCCGCTACATGTTTCCGCCTCCAACGACACTGGCAACATTACGATCTTGAGCAGCACTCGCTACGCCAACACCATCGAGGTTTTCACTATCAACGGACAGAAAATCATCGAAAAGCAGTTGGCGCCCGGAAAAGTGAGTGCTGTGAATTTCGCCGGACTCAATGGAACCTTGGTCGGTTCACCCAACGATATTCGTCATGTCTACTGGAACCACGAGATCGTTGCCGTTGCTTACGAAACTCCCAGAAAAGTTCTTCAGTTTTACGAGCTCGAATGCAGCAGCAAAGGATGGCAATTGCTGATGCTCCAGAGCGTTGCTTTGGACAATCATGTCGGTGGATGTGTCACCTCGTTGGAGGTTTTCAAGCGTGCCGAAGCTGATAAGCAGGATAAGCTCTGCAGAGGCCTGCTTGCCGCTGTGCTTGGAGATTCTCAGGGAAAAGTTTACGTCATTGCGGAGAATTAAATGGAAATACGGCTTTTTTTTTATGCCAGCTTTTTTTAGAGAGTTGGAGGTGAATACGGCCGTGTGTGGGGCCAGGGTCCGCGGGCAATCTAACAATAGCCTGGTTGCTATACCACAGCAAATCTGCCAATGAAGCAGAACCATTGTCCCCTTTTTTTTGGGATCAATGACGGTGGCACTGGAACAGGTACAGGGAAGAAGCACGGTGGCTGTATTTTTCTTCGGTGGGCATGTTTCCGAAGGACATGTTTCCGAAACACCCGCAGAGCCTGCAAAATCCACGATCTAACCGAAGTGCTAGACCAACTCGCCAAAAGACAAAAAAACACTCCAGAAGCTTAATTCCCGTGTTGTATACGTTGGGACCCTTGGACCGAATAAAGCCCCAGAATGTCCCAAAACATCAACAGGGTTTTTACGGGGCGGTCCCCTCAAGCCACAAACAAAAATAACAAATGGCTAAGCAGTGGGCTTCGGTTCCCGTGAATTGCCTCCTAAGCCCTTGCTCATCGTGCCGGCAGAGTTCATTATCTGATCTACGGGATCACTTTGAAGAAAAATAAAAAAAAAAGTTGCTCCTTGCTGTCGGCTGCAAAATGGGCCTGCTTTCGGCCTAAAACGGCAACCCCCAGCGCGGTACAGTGTGGTGCCGCAGATCGGCACCTGGATGGCGCAGTGTTGTTGCGCGGCTTGCCTGCAGGTCAATCTCTTCAATTCAGGTACCAGCCAATCCTTTACTCTAAGCCTCATCGGGGTAAACCATCAAGAAAACAGTCCAAAAATATCTTTGTGCAACAACCACTTGGTTTTTTTTGCCTTCCCGAACATGATGGCCATTTCACACTGGCTTCCTCCCTTTTCCATGCAAACGTTGCTCATTTGCGTGCTTTGGTACCTGGTGCTGTCCTTCACTTCTCAGGTGACGAAGGTTATCATGGTGGAGTTGCCGTACCCGCTATTCCTTTCACAGTTCCAGTTCTTCCTCGGGGCGCTTCTATCGGTGCTGATGATCCAGATATCTCGAAAGTTCTCCCGTTTCCACCTCATCTTCCCCACAGGCACGGTGCCCCTGGACGGATCAAGTGCCGTGTTTGACAAACGCATATTCATCAAGGTGCTCCCATTGGGCGTGTTCCAGTTCACGGCAAAGTACTTTTCGCTCTGTGCCACGCTGTTGATCCCCGTGGCCACCGTGGCCAGCGTCAAGGCCCTCTCGCCTTTGCTCATTGTTGCTGGTTACCGCTGTTTCTACAAGGTCCACTTCCCCGTTCTCACATACCTCCTGTTGGTGCCGCTTCTTATCGGCGTCATCATGATCATCATGGCAGATGCTGGCTTCTCTGCTCTGGCGTCGTTTGGTCCAGTTTTGAACGAGGCTCACGTCAAAGGATTGCTCTTTTGCGTCTTTAGCACCGTGATCATGGCTACCCAGCAAATCTACGGCAAAGAACTCATTACCTGGGATACCGGCGTGATCGCCAATCCCGCATCCTTGGTCTTGAACACCGACAGATCCCGTGCGGTGACGCCGGAATTCGGCCCATACCCTTCACCAAAGCACGAAAGCACCTCCAACGACTTCCTCCTGCCCCTGTCCATCTTCAACAAAAGAAAAGATACCCTCAGACTCCCGTACTCTGTGTCAGACTTGTCGCTTGATGAGAAAAACGAGTGTCTCCAGAACAGAGCCCAACATTACGACATGGAGGTCCAGGAAGGAAACAGCGCTACTAATCCATTCTCAGCGCTTGCATCTGCTGTCAAGGGTGTCGGCAAGCCCGACAAGTTCACCGTCATCTTTTACATCTCCCTCATTGGCTTTTCCTTCTCCTTTAGCGGCTTTTGTGCCCGCGAGGCCGTCAGCTTATACAAGGACTTGTCGGAACCCATGCATTTCGAAGGAGCGCCCGATGAACACCACGACTTGGGCCGCATGTTCGTGTTGATACTCATGAGCAGCTTGTCGCATTTCTGCCAAACGGTATTGGCATTTGTATTACTAGGATCGGTGCCGGCATTATCCTACTCCATTGCATCGATGATGAAGCGTATTGTGATCATTGTTGTCAGTATAATCTTTGCCTCGAGGCTCCTGGCGGGCACGGAGAATCTCTGGTTTGGTGCCTTGACGGGCATTCAAATCCAAGGTCTTTTGTTAATTGGGCTTGGGCTCTACTTCTACGACCGCTGGGGCTCTCGAAGCCTCAAAGAAAACCGGGTCTAATCACGACCACAGCATAATAAAGATACCCAACGTACTACAAGGGCGAAATAATGTTTGGAAAGGCTAGAATGTTCAGCTGAAATGAGACAGAGCCACCTCCCCAGACACGAAGCCTGCTTCAGTAGCTCCTCTTAGCCTGCTAAACCCGCAAATCCCGTGACTACCCCCGGCATTGCTGCCGTGACTAGTATACTCTGGTATGTGTTGTAGAGAGTCACAATTCTGGGATTCGAAATTGCTTTCGGAACTGTAGCTCTACAATAATACACATACGTGGTACAATAGAGAAGAAAAAAAAAATCGGGTATCACTGCATCTCTATATATACTGGCAGTCGCGCGCGCCGGGTAACCCTGACATATAATCTGTAGATATCAGATCCAATTTAGATATACCAACCTGATGAAACTTTCTAGCATTTTCGGCGCTGCTTGTGTCGTTCAGGGTATAGTTGGACTCGGGTTTAAGGCCCAATTTGTCAATGTCCCGGAAGAAAAGCTCGAATTGGAAAATAAAAGAGTAGGCAAGACCTTGCCTATCCACAGAAACTACCCATCCAGAATCGACGCTCAGATTGTCGGATTGGGATCCAAATACGGCGAGTCTCACAAGTATCTCGTGAAAAAACTGTACGAATTTGACGTGGAAGATTTGGCCGTCGGAGAGTACGAGTTATTGGTGCATTCTCATGACTTCCATATCCGCAAGAACAGATACCGTGTTTCTGTTGGAGAGAACGAGATTTCGGTTCTAGACGATTTCTACGGCATTGAAGAGGTCAATGCTACATCTGCACGTGTTGTGAGTGCCGAAAGCCCGCTTCAAATTGAAGCTAGCAAAATCAAGGTGTACGATGAATCGCCGCAAAACAAGCTCGTGGAGATGTTGATGCAAAGTCCGTTTGGCTTCATCTTCAGAAACAGATTGTACACGATTATGTTTGTGGTTTGCATGGGTCTTATGATTCTCCCCACGGCCATTCTGTGGTTCTTCCCTGAATTGGCGGACCAGTTTGCTGATATGCAAAAGGAAGCGTACGAGAAGCGGGCCGAGAGGGCAGAGGCCGAGAAGCAGCAGGCTGCGGCGCCCGTGAAGCCCTCCAAGTCGAAGAGGCGGGCGTAGATGGGGAGTTTTGAGATTTGCAGATTGTCCATTTTGCATCTGCATTGACAAAGTACAGTTCCAACGGCATTCGGGCCAAAAAAATAGAGGATCACGTCGCAGGATTATTGATAAAAATTGGGATTTACCGTCATGACTCATCAGGCCCGGGGCCCTAATACTCACATCACAGTGCAGCTTAAATACTACCACTGCCTTCTCTTCCCACTGCCTAAGCTGCTATGCTACCTTCGCTTCCCACCGCTTTCGACTGCTACGCTGCTCTGGGTCGTAATTCGTAAAATATATACATTTATAAGCGAAACTCTATACCTTAACATTAATCTTGAAGCCGACAATATACCACCGGCTAACAATCCACAGAAGCGTACCCACAACGGAAAACACACCACAGAAAATAATGAAATTACGGTACTCTGTATCTGTACCATCACCAATAAGGGCTGCACCCACAGGAACACCAAACAAAATGCCAGTACTAGAAAAAGTGTACATGAGCCCATATCTCTGACCGAATTTGTCAACCTGAGAAATGGAACCCAAGCAGAGTGGCGTCAAGCCCAAAATCGAGGAACTGAAGAAACCACAGAAAACGGTAAAAGTGTAAAGGCCGGCCTTAGTGTGGCCTGCTGGAAGCCAGATGCAAAGAATTGAAATGACAAAGCCAATAAGCATGAGGATCATGACATTGAAGGTTCCCACCTTGTCGGCAAGATGGTTTGGGATATAACGGCCAAATGCGCCTGCAAGGTTGAAAAACGTCAAAAGGTACAAGGAGGCTGCCTCGGAAAGACCGTACGAAATGGCGTATGTAGCCAAGTAGGTGAGAATCGACATCAAGGCGATTTCTGTGCTGAAAACGCCAAACACAAGGTAGGAGAATTGCAAGTCTTTGAAGGCGGAAAGGTCGAAAAACGATTTGGTAGTTGTCAAAATTCTCTTGTGTCTGCCTCTGCCTAGGTGGTCCAGGTCGCCTTCAGAAAGAGCTCTTCTAAAGCGAGATTTCACCAAAACCACCGAGGTTATGGACCCGGCAAGGCAAATAAAACCACAAATACGGATACCCCAGCCAAAACCGACAGATGTGTACAAGCTGTTGAGAATAATAGGCCAGATAATGCCGCCAATGGAGCCTCCCAAAGTAGCCATACCCATGGCTTTCCCTCTGTTGAGCATAAACCAATGGGAAATGGACGAGACCAACGGAGTAATGGCAAGCGCCTGGGCGGTACCCATACAAATGGCAAGAGAGAAAATAAAAGCCACAATCAGCTTTGAAAAACTCACCGCCATGAAACCGCCAAAAAGCAAAACGGTGGCAGCAATAAGAAGCGGCGTGGCGCCTCGAGAATCGAACACGGGCCCGACAAAAGCACCCAAAAAGAAGGGCAAGCACATGTAGATGGAGAACACCCACGAGACTGAACTGACTTTTTCACCTGCCAACTGGTGGTTCAGCACGTACGCCTGGATGGCACCCACGGCGTTCAAAAAACCGAAATTGATCACCAACCCTATGAAGCTGCCGAAAACAACAAGCCACGCTTTCAAACCGCCATCGGGAAAAAGGTCGTTCGGTTGTGGCTTCAAGTTGGCAAACACATTTTCCTGCTCATCGATCTGGAGTGGAGTATCTGTGGGAGAAAACGACGTAACCGGTTCAATCGTTTCTTCCCTAGCCTGCAGGGTCTGGCCCAGAGCTTGTGCTTGGGTTCTGTCGACCGTGACAACGCTAACTGGAGCCTCTGGTTTAGAGAGGATTTGGAGTTCAGTGGACATTGGTGAGGAATAAAGATGCGGCTTCTCAGGGTTATATATGGTGGTACTGCGCAAATCGGAAAAACGGCCGCGAGAGATTCCGTTGGAATCGACGAATAGTGGAAGAGAGGTGGGAGGTTGTGTGTTTTAGGTATTTTGGTGTTTGTGGATAGACGGGATATGCATGGTCTAAACGGCCGTTGGTTTGACAGCCTGGGGTTTGCAGCCGTGCAGGCCACCGTGGGTGACGTAGATTGGATGTTAGGTATTTTGGCAGAAAGAAGTTGATTTTTCTACGGTGATTTTGATTTTCTTTTTGCTTTGACGATGTCTTTTCGGGGCTTTCGGATCTTCTGTCATCGACTTGTTAAGGTAGGCCAAGCATCGGACATGCCGTACAATGGGCGCCAGAAGATGACAGCGTTTGTCCGAGAAGGAGGCTGCCGAGGCCCGAGGGTGTTTTTGGCAGGATATTTGAATTTTGAGGTTTTCATTTTTGAGGTTTTGAGTGGTTTCTCGGGTTAGAGATTGGTGGCCCTGGAGACAGCGGTTTGAATGGTGCAAATCTAATTTCGGCAAGACACCAAAAAACACAAAATGCAAAATCAACCAAAAGGCCCCCCGCCATGTGAATGAAGTTCTTCCGAGCCTTCTTCCGAAACCTATCAAACGCCCTTGTCAATCCAAAGGCGTTCTGGTTTTGCAGCCACCGTTTTAGGCAATTCCGTCCGTGCAGTCTTTCCGTTGCACTACGCCTAGACATGCCTTATCGATATGTAAGGCTGCCGAGTTACAGAGGGGTCCACAGTGATCCATAAATTATCATACTGTTGATTCATGCAACGTTGCAATTGCAGCTATTCTTATCAATATTAATAAAAAAGAAACCAATTGCAAAAAATCGAAATCCCCAACTACTCTACAATGGAGCCCTTCGATGCACATCCTCCGGGTCAATTGCTCTACACCATGTGATTTGAAAAGGCGTTCTTTCGACCTCCGGGCACCGCCTAGTCGTTGTTATACACAATCTCCTTTTTCGCCTCGGCACTGTAGTTGGGTTTTTGTCCGTCAAACTTGGGGTTGTTCCAGCCGTTGACATGGTCAAAATCGGTTTTCGCCCAGGCTGCAAAAGGATACGTTGGAAGCGTTTTCACGGGCTGATCGGCATCAATTAGGCCCTTTTCAATCTGCCTCTCAATAAGCTCATCCAAATACGGCGAAATGTGGTCTCGGAAAAGCCCAAAGTTCTTGTACTTGACAATATCGCCAGGACCCTCATACAAAATCTTCCGGATAAGTGAAGGTACCATGGGTTCGTCCTTCATCTCGTCGAGCGAGTAGTAGACAGGGTGATTGGTGAAGATGATCGCCTGCGATTTTGGTAATCTTCTCAAAGTCTGTCTTTCCACCCGGACATTGAAGGAGCCTGGTTCGGTCAGTTTCATGCTTTCTTCCAAATCGGGCGCAAATTCGGGAAGCTGGTACACATTGCTCATTTTAAGCTTGTGGTCCCAGCTCATGTACCAGGACGCTCTTTCCACGGGGTCGTTGGGCGAAAGACGCTTAAACCATTTTTCCATCGAGTTCTTGAGCTTTTCTTTGTAGTACGGCACATCCTCGTGAATGGCGTCAAGATGCTTGCCTATTTTGGTTGAAATGTCAAAAGATCCGCCTGGGAACGGCACGGCTGCAGCTACAAGACGGTGCTGGTCCTCTTCCGGATAATACTTCACCACATAAAAGTCCTCTTTGGCCATTTTCAGAACATACACCAACGGGTGGTCCTTCAAAGGAAGCGTCATGTCCAAAATCTCGTGGGTGAGCTGGTTTTTCACCACACGGCCTTTGCTCTTCTTATCTATCAACACGGTGAAAAGCAATGGGTATCTGTCGAGCATGTGCTGGGTTACAGTCTCCATGAGCTCAATGCAAGCGTCCTCGGACTCGGGCAACCAGTCGATGTTCTGCTTTCCGTACTTCATGAAAACCCGTTTTTTCTCCTCGTTGTAGTGCCAGTAGTACTTGTCCATATCCAACCAGTGGTTGATGTCTAGCTTGAATATCGACATGGTCTGGTGATAAGGCCATCTGAACGGTCTCCAGGGTCTGTCGTCGTAATTTTCCACCTGTTCCGGAGTGATCATCAACGGAGTTGGTTTGGGAAGCTCCTTCTCCGAAGCATAGGAGCCCTTTCTGCTCAGAGCTGGTGTTCCTGGATTCGAAACACTGATGTATTTGCGGTAGTACTTTGTTGAATACAAGGCCAACTTGGTGCGGACCTCCTTGGAAGCCAAAAGCACCACCAAGGCCAAAAGAATAAATTGCCACATGCTGCTGGCCTGCCTGAGCCCAGGTGTGTGTGTTTCTTATAAACCGTTGCTGCTGATAATGGCTGCGAAAACCCTTATCTATAGTGAGCAGATGAAGGAAACTTTTACCCAAACGGGCATGTGGAGACCCAGCTGCGAGGGAAGCTTTGGAAGATGGAGAAATCGGTTCCGGTGGTGCCATTTTTAAAATACACTTGGTTTCGGTGCACTGGCACTTTTGACCAGCGGGTTTCTTTGCTGAATGCGGAAATGATATGAGAGTGAGATGGGATAGATAATACCGATGGGGTTGAAAGAATCGGAGATCGGATTTGCATTTTTTTATGGCTTGTTTTGGCTCCTTTTGGCTTGTTTTTCCAGAAACTGTGGTTTTGATCGCCTCTGCAGAATGGCGATCTGGTTCCCGATCACACATATCAATGACAGATGGAATCTCCACTTTAGCAGAAGGTATCACCTAGTTTGACCAGCCAATTAAATAATCTAAATTCATGAAAAAGGGGCACTTGTGGGGCACTTGGATGTTGCCGTTGCAACCCCATTGTCCTGGACTGACACACATATGTGGGGTCAGGAGTCCAGATTCCAGAAGAACGCAGCAACGAAGGAATGGAGATTCGTATTTGGGTGATGTGTGATTTTGGGCTTTGCGTTTTCTGGCCCCTTTGTTTTGATTATGTCAAGAGGTGACAAGGGTTGAAGTTTGGGAATTCCGGAGGGGAAGCATCAGGGTGAATATCTGATGGAGCAGTGCTTGGTAGTTGGGATCTAGGTACGATAGAGGGAGGTTGATTAACTGCAATGGTTTATTGAGTTGGAAGTTGGTTTAAGCAGCAAAGTGGTGGAATTGGCGTTTGTTGCTTCAGAGTATCAAGTAGCTACTACTCAGACTACGCAACAGGGTACCATGTTCCACAATACGAGTAAGCTCTACGCTCATTTGATAATTCTATTTCTTCTCAATTCACCTTTATTTCTCGATTTCTCTGCAAATTCCTAATCATCTTCGTTCACTGGCCATTTGGTGCTCTGATGGTGTGCCTGATTTGCCAATGCATGTGCCTGTCATCTTGAGGTCATGGAAACCACACAACCAATAACCTAGAGAGATTTACGATGAATTTGGTCAAAGCTCGTTTCTCGTATTTCATTCAATTCGTTATACCGGGCTTCAACTTTTAAAGTGTTGCATCTCCTGGGTACCTGTCTCTACGACAAAGATTAAAGGATACCCCAATTTCCAAATCTCTAGTAACCGATTCTGACGACGATCAGTATTCTCCTAACATTATTTCGTCCTTTGCTTGCCTTTCCTTTCGATTTCAATAAGACCGGATCTGAATTTTCAGTCCTCCCAGTAATGCTAACTCAATAGCCAGGGAGGCCATCCAGTAACCGACAACGCCAAAATCGAAATACCACTCCACTAGTGCATTCTAACAAAAACGAATCAAAAGGAGATCGTCTCCTTCGCCTTAGTCTCCCATTTGGCCAATTGAGCTATGTGGCTCCACTGACCCTCCTCATCTGAACCACCTCCCCATCTGAACCTCCAACCTACAATCCACTCCTTCTCTTCCTCCCTTCTCCCTCTACATCATTCTCTCTTTAAATGTACATTTATGACGAATAGGCTCGCCCCGCGGGACAGGCACTATCTACATTAACCTCCACAGAGCACCCGTAGCAAGCAGCAGCAGCAGCAGCACTCTTACAATCTTCTACCTCTTCTACCACCCTTTCTTCTGGTGGAGTCGGAAGGCACTGGAGTGACGTCCTCGATTCTGCCAATTCTCAAACCAGATCTGGCAAGAGCTCTCAAGGCAGACTGACCACCAGGACCTGGGGTCTTGGTCTTGGTACCACCGGTGGCTCTGATCTTCACGTGGACAGCGGTGATGCCAACCTCCTTACACTTGGCGGCGACGTCCTGGGCAGCCAACATGGCGGCGTATGGAGAGGACTCGTCTCTGTCGGCCTTGACCTTCATACCACCAGTGACTCTGGAGATGGTCTCCTTACCGGAGAGATCGGTGACGTGAACGAAGGTATCGTTGAACGAAGCGTAGATACGGGCAACACCGAAAACTTGGGAACGGTCGGCAGACATGTTGATGTTTCTGGTTAGTTGGAATTGAGATTTTTGGAATCTGATGGGTAGAATTTTTTGTTCTGCGCGTGCAGGTCGGCCTCGGTGCGCTGGTCACGTGTGGGTGCGATTTGTTAGGGCTCGAGCCCTGGACCTTGCCACCAGCGCACGTCAGACCTCTCCAATCCGGCCAAGGTGGCTCCTAATACTTTTCTCTAGACTATAAGAAGTTGAATACCGCATCTGGTTGACCCCACACCTCACAGTTCGTTCAGTAGTGACAACTCTGTGGGGCCCATAGTTAAGCCGCACCCGTACACCAGCTTACCCCAGGACGGCTACACCTCCATCAATTTCAACGAATATCCCATCAAATCAAATTCCAACGGCTTCATTGCAATCTACAAGCTTGTCTGATCACTTTGGTGGTAGTATCACCCCGCCAAACTCACCTACACTCTCTCCAGAGTAGCCTCTATTAATAAATGTACAAAATACCCCCGGCACGCTTAGTACACGAAACCCAAGATCTTACCGGAAACGTGCTTTCTTCTGGCCTCCTCGTGGTCCATGATACCAGCAGAGGTGGTCAAGATGACGTAACCGAACTGTCTGGCTGGCAACAAGTTGTCAGTCCATCTCTCAATGTCACCAATCTTGACGTTGAATCTTGGGGAGATGACACCACACTTGTTCAATCTACCGGTCAACTGGACAACGATCTTACCGGATCTGTGGTCGTCGATGTACTCGAACTCACCAATGTAACCGTGCTTCTGCATAACCTGCAAGAACTTGATGATAACCTTGGAGGAAGGTCTGATCAAGACCTGACGCTTACCGGTCTTCTCGGCGTTGTTGATAGCGTTCAAGGCGTCAGCCAAAACGGAGGTTCTAGTCATTATTAGGGTTTGTAGATGAAGGTGGAAAAACGAGTGAAAAATTTAGGTCGCGATTGGCACTCTGTGGTAGGTACTGCAGGTGGGCCCATTATGGTGGGAGGGAGGCCCTTTTAGCAGTCACAGCGCTTGCAGTACTGGGGCACCCAGCACACCCGTGCACCTCACACTGTTCAATGGTGGGGCTGTCTGCAGGCCCTCGTAACCTCCTTCTCACCAGAAAAAATCTTCAGTTTCTAATCTCTTCACCAACTAAAATGCCAGTATGTACAGATCCCACTACGTGAAACGATAGCAGATTTGTATTGATGAGGTCAGAAAAAAGCTCTGGTTATTTTAATTCATGACTAGAAGCGTTCCAGAAACACACGGATAGACTGTCCAGTCTCCACTATTGAAGATGACATCCAAAATCCCAAAGCAAGACCCAAGCAAACTACCATAAACCCGTATGGTTCAGTCCATCGAAAGCTATTCATTCTCCAACCATCTGCAACCGTCACACATCCTCCAATAAAGCGTATACTAACTTCCAGGCTAACAAGAGCTTCCAGATCAAGCAGAAATTGGGCAAGGCTTCTAAGCAGAACAGACCTTTGCCTCAGTGGCTCAGATTGAAGACCAACAACACCATCAGATACAACGCCAAGAGAAGACACTGGAGAAGATCTAAGTTGAACTTCTAAGCGTTCTGGTCAACTTTGTTAGGTATATCTAATACACTCATGCAATAGAACCGCAGCTGTAGTACATGGGCAACTGCCCTGAATGATTGAATATTAAGTTGGATGGATAGAAGAGGAGTAGGTCATTATCTATGGAGATCGTCGTTTTATACTCCACATTCGGATAGTGACTATTTGTAGAAGTATTCATGGACTATAAGTAGAAGTATTCATGAACTATATTAATTTGGAGATGCTTAGACCCTGAAAAGTGTATTAATTATCTTTGGAGACTACTCATACGGTTCATCATCACCAGTTACTTGTAAGCCTTAAAGTTCATTGTGCTCTCGGACATGGTGAAAAATTACCTGTCAAACCAAGCTTCGAGATATAACGCGTTCAATCAACTTCACGCTTGCAAAACCCTCTCTCTACATCCTAGCCTGCTGTTAAATATTATTCCAATCCGTATTTATAAGAATCCCGCTTCCTACACCTCCTCCTCGAACACAGTCTCGATCGGCTTCTCCATGAAAGAGGCGTGGGACAAAACACACACAGCCAGCGAACCAATCAACCACATCATCGTGGAGATGGGACTGGCCAAGAAACCCAAGGGAACAGCCACGCAGATCAAACCCAACTTCAACTGAGAGCTGTTGAAACGTCCAACGGGCAAAACCAAGTCCTCGCCGTTCAACTTCATGATACCAAAGACACCCACACCGACGAAAGCGATCACGAAAAGCAACAACAAATTCGTGATAAGGGCGTAGATGCTCAAGGCTGAAACGATCAAAATGTAGTTGGCCTGGAAGTAGCCCAAGTTGTAGCCGACACGAGACTGGATCTCACCAAAGTCAGCAGGCTTCGAGAGTCTTCTGAAATCAAAGAACTCCTGTGGAGGCTTGAGTTTGGAGACGGTTCCTTGAAGATAGGACACGTCGCTTCTGAGTCTCTCCATCGTGAATCTCTCAGAGAGATTGGAAAGCTGAGGTTAGTATACAAAGCAAAATGGGAAAGAGTTCGAATCAGATATCAACATACTGGAACGTAGGGAATCGTGAGGCCAGACATATTTAATGAGGAGGTCTATGTGTTTTTCTTTGAATGAGGCTATCGAGAACCGCGCCATGACAGGACACCCGTGCACCAAAATTTGCAGCCGTTACAAGTTGAGGTCCTTCTTCACCATGGCTCTGCAAATGGGGTGGTAACGAGACTCAAATTTTTTGAAATAGCTCACTGCAAGGTCGTAGTCGACGCTGGCCAAAAGCCTGTATCCAGGTCTAGCAAACTTCATTCTGCCAACCGTGCCGAGCCACTCACCAAGCTGGTCGTAGAATCTTCTGTTCTCTCCACCAACTTGCAAAGCGAACCAACGGAAAAGAACTTCAGCGTTGGACGATGTGGCATACGCGTGGTACACCTGGTCAAGAACATGCAAGGCGCCTCTGAAGTCCTTCCACTTGAAATTGTCAAGCTTGTTGAAGGAAGACATGGTTTCCAAGAAAACGACAGACTGGTTGGCGGTGAAGCCCTCGATGTCAGAAGGCTTGAAGAGCTTGGTCAAGTCGTCGTTGTTACGCGTGGCGTAGATCCAGCGGTCCGCCAAGTTGTAGACTTGGTCAACCAAGGTGGTGTCGAAATCAGGCTTCACAGGTGGCATGCCAGGCTTATAGAGCCACAGCTCCCAGTCGATCAGATCGAGCTTTTCCTTGTGGTCCTTGAAGAATGCATAAAGTGTATCCATGAACTGGTAGGTGTCGAGCGACGAGTACTTGAACTTGTTGAAGTAGTGAGGAATGAATGGGTCAAACACTTCTTTACCACCGACGGTGCGTTCAATGAGGAAAAGCAAGTTGGATCCCTTTTCGTATGGAACGGTGGAGAATGCATCGTCAGGGTCGCTGCGGTCCTTCAAGTCTTGCACCAACGTGGAGTATCTTTCTGCTGAGTCGCCCATGGCTTTGATGCTGTTTTCCAAATCGGACCATCCGATAATGGCCGAAAAGTGTCTCGTGGCCTCGCCGTGGATAGCTCCTTGAATACGTCTCTCCAAGTAGACGGTCCAGCCCTCGTTAAGCCAAAAGTGCTCCCACGAACAGTTGGTGACAAGGTTTCCAGACCACGAATGGGCAAGCTCGTGGGCCACAACGTCCACGTTCTCTCTGTCGCCACTGATCAACGTAGGGGTCACAAAAGTGGCATTGGGGTTCTCCATACCGCCGTAAGGAAAACTCAGCGGCAACACAAGCGCATCGTACTGGTCCCATTCGTATGGAAACACCAACTTCTCTGCAGCCTGCAAGAAGTTCTCCATGTCGTGCTCAAACTCGTGCTGGCACGCCTGGACCCTGCTGGGCTCACTGTAGACGTGGGAACGGGGGCCAATGGGCAATTTGGTGATGTCACCAGAGGCAATTGCAACCAAGTACGATGGAATGGGGATGGGCTGTTCGAACTTGTAGATGTTGCCGTCCACGGAGGCGGGTCTTCCGCTCATCAAAGCGGGGAGTTTCAGCTCCACGGAGAAGGAGTAGGACGATTTGACCGCAGGCGTATCGAAGAATGGGAAGAGACTTCTGGCGTGGATCGCCTGACACTGGGAGAAGAAGTATGGCTCTTTCTTGCCGTCGGTGGCGTCCTTCTCGAGGAACTGCAACGCCGTGCACTGGTCTGTCGTGTTCCACACGAGATCCACGTTGAATTTGGTGTTCTTGGGGATCTTGGCTTCGATCTTAAATTCCGAGCCCAAAATGCCTCTTTCGCCGAAACTGAAAGCAGCGTTCTTGCCGTCAACAGCGGCGCTCTTCACGTCCAAGTACGACGAGTCCAAAATCACACTTTCCACGTCTTCAAGCGTCTCCAACGCGATGTTGGCCTTTCCGTGGAGAATCTTCTTTTCCCAGTCGACCGTGAAATCCAACTTTGTGTGGTGAACTTTGAACTGAAAATAGTTCAGCAACGTGGAGGGGTCCCGCTCAGGCAGGGACTGCGGGCGGTGAGGGGCGATGACGTCCATTGTGGGAAATTGGAGATGGTGTTTCTGAAGAAGGTGTAATCTAAAGTATGGAATCTGCGCGCCATACAGTGGAGCGGCACTAGTTGATGATTCTGGGGGGGTTCACAAAAACGAAAAAGAAAAAAACGCCGTTGATTCGAGGGATTGTTTTTTTAGATAGCTTGAGCAAATAGCTTCGCTTGTTTCGGGCCAAAACGGAATCTGAAACGCAACGGTCAGAGACCATTTGCGCTGACGCTGTGCGCCAATATCGAGAATCCACATTGACGAGAAGCTCCGATAAAACGGGTGGTTTTTACGGCGATTTGCGCCGAAACGCCGAAATTAGTAGCGTTTGCGTTTTGACAGCGACGGGGCCTTTTTCGGAGACTTCATCAAACCATCTCCATCAAAAGACCATATCGCTTCTCGTCGTTTCTGTGGCGCCGCCAATATTGCAACATTGGCATTCCGTAGGGGCTAATTTCGGCACCTCACAAAGCCTATTGGAGCTCAGGGGCCTAGCGGCTGCTTTTACACATTTTGCAGCAGATAACGGTCGTAGCGGGTTTTGGGTGAATCTGGGAGATTTTTTATTTTTATAAGCCATTCCTTTTTGCTTTGTGTGATTGGCCAAATGGCGATGATGGGATCAATCGATAGAGTGTATTAATTGGCCGTCTAAACAGGTGCTCCAGCCGGATCTTGCAGCCATATCAACACTGACGTCATTACAAGGGTCCGCTCCATATCTGGTAAACCAGCCAATTCCATGCACCACATTGTCTGAGCTCTGAAAACCCTTCAATGAGAAAAATTCCAAAAAGCTTACCATTTTTTCAACTTTTGCTTTGCACTTCCTTGTTTTCCAAATCAGTTCCGTCTTGGCTCCGATAGCATTGTTGTCGATCCTCACTGACGTCAAGAAGCCGAGCCGACCAGACCAGAAAAAGTCCACACAAAAGGGATGTTTATACACAAAAGGGGGGCAAACTTTGATTCACAATAATGCAAGAATCGTGGATTTTGCAATTTTACAAAAAAACCAAATCTTCCATTGTTTGGGTGTATGCATCCACGTCGTGGTACCCTCACCAGGATCACCTGTTTGATATCACGCCCAACGTTCGAATTTTCAATAATGATAATCCACTCAACATTATTCGACCCTCCCAATTCGAATCCTCTCCCCAAATTCACTAAATCCTGTGGGAATGGTGGAATTTTGGGATTGTTTTGGTTGGGATCACGTGACTCGGGCCCGTACTCCACACAGCTTGAAACTCAACCACTCCACCACCTGGTTCTTCCCTTTTTCCACATCCACTCGCTGGCAATGCCGCCCGAAAACGTCCCGTACGGAAATAAGGGCCTTGCCAACTCCATGGAGCTGCCATTGCACAGGCTCGAACAGGAAATTGCCAAAGACCTCAGATCGGACAAACTGAACAAGAGACCGTCAGATACAGCCTCCATCTACTCCTTCGACTCCGTGTCCACTTCAGGCCGCTTGCTTGATCGTCTAGATTTGGACAGCGAAGACTACGATGAGGATTTCCTTCGAAGACGAGAATCCTACGCCCTGATCCAGTCTACTGGACGCCTATTGGACCGTTTGGGTCTTGATGATGATGGAGAGGAGGCCCTGCTGCCGCTGCTGCTTCAGCTGGGAGGTTTGCCCAATGTTGGTGGTGGCGATCCCCGCTTTAAACCGGTCCGGGCCTCGTCGGCGATCAGCTTGAACAGAATGAAAAGCGCAGCTCACAGACCACCCATGAGGACCTTGAGCTCCCAAAGCACGTCTTCAAGCAGCCGTGTGCCCGTGCAAAACGTCGGAACTGCGCCGTTCAGGCAGCCTTTCGAGAGGCCTGGTGCTTCTGTGGACTCGTTCCATGCCGATGTGAATTCTCCCAATAGTCTGTTCACTCGGCTCAATACGGCGCAAAGGTCACAATCGCTGGCCTCGGCTGACTCTGCTGGATCCTTAAAAATGCCCGGAAGCTTTGAGTCCGAGTCTGAGCGGAAGTCGCTCGATACTGACGGCTCTCTGGATACCATTTCACCTTCTCAACTGCCCAAAATACCCGTGCACGCTCCATTGAAGCCAGATTACGGCAAAAGGCTGGCCTCGGGCTCGTCACAGACGTCCACGTCTTCCGTGGAAGTGCCCATTTTCAACCCCAACGCAAAATTCAACCCCGCATACGAATCCATGGTCAAACAGGCGCTTCTGCTAAGAAACCACAACGACAGAGAAGCGCTGTACCAGCTACAAATCATCGGCAATGCGCCCAACAACTACCCAAAAGCAATGTATCTATACGCCATGGCCCTCCGGTTCGGCCTCGGTGTCAAAAAAAATGAAACTTCCTACATCAAGTGGCTATGTCGGTGCGTTCTCGTATCGCAGATTGTCGAAACCAACCCTGTGGACCCACCTTCGCTTAACAACTACGTCAAAAGGCTCCATGAGCTCCAACCACAGGACTTGGTCAGAATGGTGTGCAAACAGACATCAGCTGCTGTGGACCCATTCGACTTGTACGACGAATTCCTGGGAATGAGCTCCTCCGTCATTTCCAAAATCATCACCCTCAACAATAAAGATAACAATACGCTCGCTGCTGCCTACCATTTACTTGGCGAGGCTGTTCTTGTCGGTTCAGGCTTGCCAGCTAAGGACACCATATCCGCCATTCAACTTCTCAGCAAAGCTGCATCGTTGGGCTTTTCACACTCGATGGTGAAACTAGGCGAGATCTGGGGCACAAAATCAAAACATTATAAAAAAGATTTCCACAAATCCGCTGCCTGGCTACGTCTCGCAGAGCTTTTTGGCAAAAAGGATATTGGCAATAGCTGGATCTACAAGTCAAAGTACATGGCCAGACCCAAAAAATAGATTAGCTATATTTCTTTCCCGACTGGAAGGTGTACTTATTACCCTCATTCACTTCCGAACCGTATACCTCCATGAACTCCCGGAGACAGCAATATAGATATCCACAGGCATCCCGTAGGTCTGAGTAGCACCCTAGAGGAGCGTAGTACTTGTCCAGAGCTGGATGAAGCGGTAGATCGGTGTTGGCTTTTTGAACCGGCGTGGCTCTATTGTGCCAGCTTTTGGGGAAAACTGTGGATGGAGAAGGGCAAAGTGTGAAAAACGATTGTGCTTCAGCGAGTGTTTCTGAAATTGTTTGATGGTGGTCGATGATTTGAGCTTGAAGCTCGACGGTCTTGTTTCTGGAGTCCAGAGTCTCGGCAGCGTTCCGGAGACTCTTGGTTATACGCTTGATTGCAAGCGCTTTGAGGTTGGTGAGAACGCCCACAAGAAACGTCAAATACGCCTTTTTCTTGTCCTGGACGTTGTGTGTCTTGATGTACTTCTCGATACGAGAAACAAACGGCGGGATGCCGTCAACGTAGACGCCCCAGATGCGCTCGGCGCTGCTGCTTGTGGCCTTTTCCTCGTAGTCACTAGCAATCGCTAGGCAGAGCATCCAGTCGAACTGGATCACGACGGAGAAAAGCGGGTCTTTGGCCCTGACGCGGTCAGCATGGGCGCTGGCGGATTTGGCCTGTTTTTGCCAGAAAAGCACCGGCTCCTTCTTCTGGCCAGGGCTGCTGGGTTTCGAGCCAGCCTCTATGATGCCCAACCCCTTGAGCGGTTTAGGGTGAACGTTTCTGAGCGCCGCCAGCGGTAGCGACATTCTAACGAGGAAACGTGGCTTCTTCGGGTCGCTGAGTTTGTTGATGAAACGCACCCTGCCCCTGGGTGAAGCCTTCTTGGGCAGTTTCCCCTGAACCTCAGGCGTGTTTTCCGCCTTGGGCTCGAACATCGTCGGTAGCGTGGGCGAAAGAAGCAGAATGGGCAAGTTGTCGATATCCGAGCCATTGCTCAGTCTGGACGGCTCGTCGTCGTTATCAGACGGGTCGTTTTCGTCGTTTTCGTAGGACCCCATAAAGTCTGGTTTGGCGAATTGGGGTGGCAATGTCGGCGAGAGAAGTTGCGGTAGCTGTCCCAGCGTGACGTACAGCGATACCATATCGTCGACGTTCCACGGCAACGTCTTGGGAGCCAGAACGGGCGTGGTAGGTGCTGGCGAGTTGGAAGGTGCTGTAGACGGCGAAAAGGGCAGCAGAGACTTTGCCTTTTTCAGCGAAAGCGAACGGCGAAACCCTCGGGGTTTAGAAGGCCGCTCCTGCTCCAGAAATATGGCGGATTTCATCGGCGTTAGGGTGTTTCGTGATGTGGTTCTGGAAGAGTAGTAGGAGCAGATCAGATACCTCACCTGGTGCTCTGCATGTGGGGGAGTCTCAGACAGGAGGGTTCAGTGTGGACTTTCAGGGGAAGCAAATGGGAGGATGTTTTTGGAATTTGATTTTGAGAAATGGAAGAACTTATATAGAATTTGGGAAAGGGGCCGAAATTCCCAGAGGGGTGGCACTTTCGGAGTGCGTCTCGGGACCAATCCGGAAGCATCCAGGGTGCTAGCCGAGAGCGATTGAGGATAAAGGTGCGCCATTCGCTGGGTGGGATATTTTGGGTGGATTTGGATTTTTAATATTTTTGGATTCAATTGTTGTGGTTTTGCGTTTGTGGGGCATTTTGGGCAAGGGGACCGGGTGGTCCAGGAGGATGTTGGTGGATATTGTGGTCAATTGAGCAGAGGGTAAGATTCCATTTTTCAAGCACTGGTTTTGGGTGACCATTTGGGGGAATTGATTGGAATTGTGGTGTAGAATATGGATGTTCTGGAGACCGATATGGTTGGTTTTGTGGAATTTTTGGTGGCCAATCAACGTAAATGGTGAAAGCGATGAAAATATGAGTTTAGTTGCAAATTTCTGGTTGGAGTGGTGGCTGTTCTTGTTTTCTTGGGAATGGTTTGGTCCGCTCCTTCTTGTTGTGCAGCCCAAAAGGGCAATTCCAAGCGGGCAGTGCATGAAAACCTTCAAAAGTAATCTATCGAATTTAGCTTACCTCAAAGTTGTATGTTCCCCCAACCGTATTGGGGAACCACCTCGGGTGTTCGGTTGCAAAGGGTTCTGTTTACGTTTCATGTAGGGTGTGCATATAGCTCGCTGTTCCTCGTAAATATGCAGCCAGATTGTATCGATCCACCTTTGTGATCCGAAACTCAATAGTATTTTCTTCTACGGGACCGATTCAGCAAAGTCATGAACATTTGCATGAATGTGCTTAAGACAAAAATTTGGTTTTTGCTGATTCTGGCTAATGGTTGAGAAACTACTTTCGTCTAATCTCTCGGTATATGAATCCGCATGCGTGGTCCGGGGACCCTTAATACTATTAAGAAATTGCTCAAATGACATCTCTCTCTTGTTCATCATCTCCCTTGCTCAGCATTAAATTGCCTCTTTAAAGTCATTTTCTAAACGGAGGTTATACGGACTCTCGTTGTACGAACAATAAACCATGAGCATAGTACATGAGGAACATCCCAGACTGCCACCTCTAGTCCTTCTACAAAGCTTTTTTTTTTTTTTCTTTTTTTTATATATATATTTTCTTTATAGTTTCCTGAACTGAAGGTGGCACACCTCAGTACTTCCACTTAGCTCCCTTGGCTAGGGTGAAGTCTGGTTCATAAAACTCGTCCTCGTACTCAAACAAATCAAGCAACGAGGAACGTGCAGAGCTATCCAGCTCATGCATCGGCTCGTAAGCAGCGGGAACCGGAGGTGCTGGTTCGAAAACAAGTTCAAAGGGAACCTGCGTCTTCTTATTGCGGTTCTTTCCCTTTGAAGAACGTGCCTTCTTTTTGGACTGCTTGCTGGGCTGCACGAAGCAGGGCTTGGAGGATGAGGTGGACTCCAGGGGAAGCTTGGAGTTGGTCTCTTTCCTCTTCACATTATTGTCTGGAGCCTTAGGGTGTACCTCAGGTACTGGCTCGATAGACTTGATAATGTCTTGAAAGAAGCAGAAGTCCAGGGGAAGGAAGGACTCGCTGCTCTTTTCGTTGGTGATACTCTGCCAGTGGAAAAAGTCCCGTGGCAAGAATGAAGGAGTATCTTCATCGTTTGTGGCGTCCTTCCAAAAGAAAAAGTCATTTGGAAGGAAAACCTTGTTGTACTTGGGAGTGGAAGTCCAGAGCTGGAAGAAGTTGCAGAAGTCTTCGGGGAAGTAGACCTCCTGAGTCTTCACGGGCTGTGGCTCTGGTTGTGGTTCTGGCTGTGGTTGTGGTTCTGGTTCTCCTCTGGAGTACAACTCAAAGTGCTCTTCACGCAAGCAGAAATCGTAGTCAGACAACTGCCCCTCGAGCGACTCGAGCCCATCAACAATGTGCTGAAAGCTGAAAAAGTCGGTGACAAAAAGGTGTCCGTCATCAACGAGGATGACCCTCTTTGTCTTTGGGGTTCTCTTCTTCATTGCATTGAGAGGCACAAGCTCGTCAAGAACGAGACGGAATTCGAAAAAGTCTTCGATGGTGAAGGACTCTTCAGGCTTCTCGGACACAGCGTCCTGCCAGAAGTAGAAATCCTTGGGAAGGTAGGAAATTTCCTCTTCCTTGAGGGACTTTCTGAAGTGGAGAAAGTCGCCTGGGTAGTAGGTCTTTTCAGTCTGAGACAAAGACGACCAAGTCTTGAAAACGGGAAAGTCCAAGGGCAAAGGTGCGGCCTGGACATTGTTAGAAACCTCGAGCTTAGGGGAAATTGCTGGAGTTATGGTAACCTCGGCTTCTGGAGTTTCCTGAACTGGAACTGGGTTGATGACCTGTTCTGGAGTTTCCTGAATTGGGTTGACTGGTTCAGGCAAGTGCTGAACAGGAATGACCTCGGGCTCGGAAGTTTCCTGAACCTCTGGACACTCTTCCTTCTTTTGGGCCAAGTAGAGCTCAAGGTAAGAAGTCTGACCTGGGTTGAGAGGCACAAAGTCCTCAAAAATGAGCTGGAAAGTGAAGAAGTGGGAAGGGTAGTAGCAGTCGCCCTCGTTGGAGAGGAACTTCTTGGACTTCTTCGTTTCCTTGGTGGGCTCAACAGGCTTGGAAGCCTGAGCTGGGGTGGACTTGGAGACGTCTTCCTTAGAAGGCTCCTTCTTGTCCTCCTTGGGGTTCTTAGTAGAACGCTTTCTCTGAGAACGCTTTCTCTTCTTGTCCTTCAATTTTTTCTCCCTAATGTGGGCGTCACTTTCCTTGAGGCAGCCTCTGTCAGTGGACGACTTCTTAGGGAAACTCTTCTTCTTAGATGCTTTGGTGATAGTGCTGGCGGTAGAAACGGCGGGCATTTTTGATTGATAAGTGGTGGATAAGGAAAAAGAATTTAGGGAGAAAGGACGTTGATTTATAGTCCAAAGGGCCCTTCTACGAAATAATATTCTGCTGTCTGGATGGTCACAAATATGGGTTTGGTCATCTGTGGTAATTCGAGAGCGGAAGGTCGTAGCAAAATGGTCATCTCATGGGGTTCGAAAGCGGTAGTTACAGCTTCAGAGAGGGATTTGGTCTGGCTTTTGGGTGGGTTTTCGTCCATCTAGAGTAGGTCCAGTAGTCACTCATGCACTTCTGTCGAAGGAAAGTCCAATACTTGAAATCCCATAGTTAAGGCTAGATAATAAAGTCGGGCTCAAGATAATATTTTATAGCATTTTCTCTCGATTTGGGGGTTCAGGAGATTTCCGCCCGGATTGGGACAAATTGCATGTATTTTGTCTCACATTCTGCCCTAGGGTACGCTAGAGTTGGTGATATTATCGAGGTACATGAACTAACACAAAGTTAACTAAACCGCTTTAATGAATGAAACCCCAATGATACTACAAAAATTAATTAAAAGCTCCTGTCACACGTTATCTAAACAATTGAGCGGCCAACTTGGCTGCCTTGGCCTTGTTCTTCAAACGAAGAGAACGCCTTGGTGCATTTCTGAAACCTCTTCTCTTCATTTTCTCCTTATTCTGCTTTTTGTCCACAGCTTCGTCATGCAAAGATGGATAAAAACTGACTTGCTGGAGCAGCTTCTGTTTTGGAGAACCGTCTGGACTGGTTTCGTCGGTGGTGGGCAGCAGCTTTTGACTGCTTTCTTGACCATCCAGAACATCCTTTTGGTAATCCGAAGTCTCGAGAATGCTGATGCCATTGGACAACCTACTGGCTTTTCTATTTTCCACAAAAGCTCTCCACTTCATGTTGTTCTCGAGGTTCAGGAGGAGTTTATGCTGGTAGATAGTCTGAGCGATTACTCTGGAGTTCCAGTACTGATGCCCGTAATAGTGCTGGGTCACAAAAAAGCTAAACTCACCAGGGGCCCAGGATATTGGGATTTTTTGGAAATCAGCGGTAACGAGTTCACCAGTGCTGAGCCAAACAGACTGAAGTACATCTTGTTCAATATAGCAGCCCTCTAGGTGCCAGTAGAATGAATTTGGTGAGCTCATTGTATGATCGATATCAGAGGTCTTTAGGGAAGTCGTCGATAGAGTTAGGTTTTTGAGTTATTGGGAATGTGAAAGATAACTAAGCGAGAAGTGGGCTTGAGTCCTTTCACTGTTGCTAAGGAAGTAGTAGAGGTGGTAGAGGTACAAGACAGAGCGACGCTGAATATATACGCTTTTCACAAACACAAGGTGGTGGTGCACCCATTGAGTCTTGAGGACGTTGGGATTGGTGCCAGTAATTGAACATCTCTGTGTTGAAATATATCTTTAAGTGGGCAACTGGCGATTCTAGGGGTCTTCTGTGTCTCAAGGTCACCTTGATACTCTCAGGTGTAACTAATGGAGAACCACAGCAACACAAGATGATCATCCCACCACATTAGCTAACTTGGTCAGAAATGGTCAATTGAGCATTCATTGCGTCCTATGAAGCTTATAGTATATGGCAATACATACCCAATTGAGCCTGTAACACTAGACATACAAGCCAGTGCACAAGATCATGAACTACCCATCACACCAACAAAGCAAATTATACCATAAAAGTCTCTTCATTCTGTACTTCTAAGTCTTTTCCTGGTCAATTGGCCCCGTCACAGAAGTATGAGTATCACCCTTTCTCGTCAAGCCATTCTCAGCTTTACCTCTCAAACAAGGAAACTGCAACCCGCCCTTGGAAATTGCAACCCACTCCCAGCAAACCCTATATATCTACCTAAATCAAACCAAAACCTCTTTCAAGAAATAATTCACACCGCCCTTTGCACCACCTTGTCTACGTATTTTGCAGCCACCCCAGCACTGCACCTGAAGCTTCACTGTAGGGGATCATCGAGCACATACTCCTACTTTTTTCAAACCCACATCCCATGATCAAACAGGAACCCGGTGGGGTTCTGGTGAAACAAGAAGCTAAACCCGTACGTATAAAACAAGAATCGTCCTCCGGGCCGAATTCAAGGCCGTCGTCTGCCAAAGAAACAAAACCAAAAGTTGGTCCCAACAAGAAAGGCCCCAAACCTGCCAATAGTAAGATGGCGAAGCCTCCAGCTTCGAAAGCAAAGAAGAAAGCCCCAAACCCCAAGCCTGTGAAAAAGGGGCCTCCACAGAATGGGAAGCCCAACCCAGCTATACCGAAAAAGAACAATGCTCCGAAATCGGGGAACCCCAAGCAGAAGGAAAACGGTGTTTTCAAGCCAACCCCCAAACCCAAGAAGGTTCCAAAGGGCGTTCCAAAGGGCGTCAAGAAGAAGGCCCCAAAAAACGTGCCTCCTAAAAACGTACCTCCAAATTCAAAACCAAACAAGAAGCCCAAGGCGGCAAAGCCTCCAGGAATGCTACCGATCAAGCAGTACGTCAGCCATGTCAAGGTGGTGAAAAAGGTCAAGGGCAAAGGACTCGACCTCATGCCACACCACCTTTCTCAATTGGCCCAGGGCAAGGAGGTCCATATCAACGGTAAGATATACTACCCCCATGAAAAGTTCACCACGGGTGAACGAGTCACCCTCGAAAGCAACAGCCCCATTGTCACCGGATACTCGCTGAGTGAGGATGACGACGACGACGACGACGACATGGGCGATGCTGAGTCGATCATCGATGTTGACGCAAACTCTGATGCATACTCTGAAGACAGTGTTGAAGTTGTCGAAGACCCCAGTGACGAAAACAACGAAGAAGTGTCTATGACAGGCTCTGACCTAGAACCAGACGGTCAGGAAGATGACGCGGACGTTCAGGTAGATGACGCTATGGAGGACGTTAAGATTGTCAAGGATGATACTAACGAAGAGACCAGCGAGACGGCTGAAGGAGATACCGAGGTGTACGATTTCGAGATCGAGACCTCGGGTGTGCCTTTCACGGAGCCAGTTGCTGAGCCAGACCCCTCTCCCTCCAACTCGTCTCTGGAAGCACAGTCCCAAGCTCCAGCTCCACAAGAACTGAAAACTGAGTCAGACCCTAAACCAACTCAGTCAGACTCGAAACCTAAGCTTGTCAGCCCAGCTCCTGTCGTGGGCTCTAAAAGCGTAATCCCTCCACATATCGTCGATTTCGATATCTCAGATAGTGATATCGAGAGACCCTCGCTGCCACGAAATGCATCTCCTACACCAGAAAACGGCCTCAACAAACGAGTGGCAGGCCAATTCGACTCTTCTCAAAGAAAGCGCCAGCGTATGGAGAGATTTGCATCTGATAACGGATCCTATTCAAGCCCTCCTCCAGTTTCAGTATCTCTTCCAGCTGGAGCAGCCTTTGTTGGCACCTCCAAGGCGCTAGAGAAGTCTTTTCTCAGACTCACCTCTGAACCTAATCCTGCCAATGTCAGACCCCAAGTGGTGCTTCAAAGATGTTTGCCTTTTGTGTTGAACCGTTACTACTCAGAGAACCTACTGTACGTTTACATCAACGATCAGCTTAAGGCCATCCGTCAAGATTTGACCATCCAACACAAGAAAAACCAATTCACCATCCACGTTTATCAAGCGCATGCAAGAATAGCCATTGAAAACAACGATCTTGGTGAGTTCAACCAGTGCTTATCCCAGCTATTCACATTGTATGAGATGGATACAGCCAAGTACGAGAGACCAGAGTTCGTCGTGTACAAGATATTGTACATGATTATCACAGGTAACAACCCAGAGATCAATAAACTACGGCTTCGATTTCTTGGGACCGACCCTTCTACGCAATATAAATCCTACCATGCTAAGTGGATCAGGCCTGCATTGGATTTGTCTTCTGCCATTATAAGTGGAGACTACTTCAACATATTCAGAATCTATCGTCAATTTTCATACAAAGAAGTTCCGCTGGCTTTGTTGCTATTAAAGCGGAACATCATGCCCAAACAGAGGTTTATGGCCCTCGCGACTATAAGCAAAGCATTCAAAAAACTCTCGCTAGAATACTTGAGGGTGCAATTAGCATTGGATGTGGACGGCATCGACATTAACGAATTCCTCAAGGCACATAACTTGACTAGCTGTGTCAACGGAAATGACATTGATATTGCGCAAGCCAAGCCTCGTATATTAAGCATACTAGAGCAAGGCGAGTACAGAAGGATCGACATCAAGGGTCAGGTCTAAATTATTTTACCCGGCATTACATGATAAGTTTTTTGGGGCAATTGACTGGAAAGATGTCTGGTATGTTTACATGGAAGGAGCGAGAGCCAACAAAGCAAAGTTATTTCTGTGCTTTTCGTCGGTGTTTTCCATGTAAAATTTCACCTTTTGCTCCAATTTGGGGTCGACAATGATATGAGTCTCGCTGCTCTCTCCCAAATCCACGGGACCAGTTCTCCTACCGTCCAATTCATACAAGTGGTTGTCACTTCCTTTGACATAGGTTATGAAATGGTAATCAATGGACTCATCAGCAGGTGGAGCCTCGGTCTGGCCTTGAACTCCATAGTTCTCGTCGAGCTGGATGTTCTGCTCCAATGCCTCCACCAACTTGGTTTTCTCCTCATCCAGCAGATCGTACGAAATTTGCAGAAGCAACAATTTGTTCAAGACCAGATTTTCAATGATAAAGTCGTGGGGCAAGTTGGCAATGGCGTGGAGCAATGCATAGAACCCACACCCATTGCCAATCGTCTGCTTGAACCAGTAAACCAGGTCGGAGGTATTGCTGTGTTTGGCATCTTCCAGTTTACGATAATCCTCGTAATTCTTGGTTAACGGGAACAACATGATGACAGCCAAGGCAGGCTGGGGTAAGAGGGCAACCAAATCCGGTTCGGAGATAGAGTACACATCATGGAAGAAAAGAACGGGCGTAAGGCCGATCTTCTGTGCAAGGGAATTGAAGATGTCAGGATTGGATTCGAGAGGAATCACACGTTTCGAATCTGGCATGATGGTGATGGGTTAACTGAGGTGAACGACTTCTTGCCATTTGATCCGGAGTCTGGGCGGTCACATGACACGAGTCATGCGGCGGCTCTATTGCTGAACCCTGGCATTAGCCATTAAGCAGCACACTAGCGCAAACTTCCAGGTTAAAATTAGCTTGAAGTATTCTGGAGAGCTGTGGATTACGTACCCCACAGTTTGCAAGAAAATTTCACGGTTGGATGGCGTTCTTGTGAAGCCTCCTTCCGCTTTTCGTTGATACATCAACAAAATGGCGGGGGACAAGTGGAATTCTCCATTGACCACCAGGCTCAACTTTACAACGGCTGGGTCACTCACGATGACCATGTTGGACCAGGTAGCACCAGTCAGCGACTTGTTAGAGCCCGAATCATGGATTTATTGAAGTTTCCAAAAATGGACAATTTCACCCCGTGAGCTCATTTAAAAAGCTCCTAATGCATGATCCAGCATGCCCCACCCCACCATTCATCGCTCCACCTTCCTTAGCCGTCTCTTTCCTACTGTTTGCGTCAGCGACTTATCTAGAAAAGTGTATCTCGGACCTGCACGCGGCTCTGCTTGACATTCCCCGAGAGACACATTCTCAGCCTATCAGGTCGTCCGCAGTGCGTCTTAGTAATCTACATATAAAGAACCACACCCCACCACAGAAATACAAAAACCACCTTTCCAAGTCCCTACAACTATTTTCTCATATTTCGCTGGTTCGAATGCTTTGGGGCTCGTATTTATACGTGGCGGTGCCGCTGGTGCTAGCTTTCTTCCTAGCCGTCTGTGGCACCCTATTACTACTACCTACCGAGTTTGATATCCATCAAAATGTCATTGTTGTGTCCATATTGACACTTATCTTCCCAGCTTTGGCCTTTGTCGTCAAAGCCGCTATCATGCCTGGCACCACTTTGCCGCAGGGTCCTCCCAAAGGTGCCATCAGGCTATTTTGGTTACCACTCTTTGTGGAAGCCATCAAACTTTGCATATTATTTATTGCCAGCCGTATGGGCGGTCTGTCAACAGTACTACATCACGCTTTGAACGTCGCCCTGGTGCTTCTGTGCTTTGTGGTGGTGCTTTCGTTGTTTCACAATGCGCCACACCAGATGCTGTTGTATCGTAAATTCTACGGTTACTTGGCCATCTGGGACGACTGCCGCTTGGCTCCCCTTCCTCCTACGAAAATCAAGCACAGAGGTTCAATGGCATCGCTTGGGTCCAGCGGTTCAGAAGAACCACAAATCGAAACTGGACCCTCATTTAATCTAAATTCCTTCTCCAGCAAAAACAAGTCCCTTGTGCTGAGCAAGCTGATGCCCATCATGTCGGCGCTGCTGTCACACCTGAGTGTGATGGACCGCTTGTACTCTGTTCTGCCCAAGAACACCTTGCATTTGACATCTGACGAAGAATCTGTGGAGTACAGCGAGAACCCTTACGAAGGCCTCATTGGCCCGGCTGACCATCTGATGGACTCAGTTGATCCCGACAGCTCGTTTGAGTCTGCAGTGACTGATCCTGGTCCACAACGCTGCCCCATGTTGCGTACTTCGTCGTCCACAAGTCAACTCCCCACCTACCCTGTTCACGGCTCCAACTCTTCGGCTTCTCTGAAGTCCTCGAAGATGGGCTTTCTCAAATGGTTCCGCTGGTTGGTTCCAATTACGTTTTTTGAGAGACGCAAGTCCCAGGCCTTTTACCGCAGGCTCCAACGGGTGCAAATCAAGCAGAGGTTCTCCACGTTCAGCTTGAACAATAACGAGACTTCCTCTCTTCTTTCGGGCGAAAAGCTTCCACTTTACAACACTGTCGATTTGGAGGCCCAATCGTTCAAGCCCGCCTACTCTCGCCAGTACAACTGCCATGACTTCTTCGAGTTTGCCAAGTTTTCCAATGCAAACTACGATGAGTGGGTATCTGCGCAAAACCAGGTGGATCCCATTTTCAAGAAGTTTGGCGTAACTCTGGAGCAATTCAGCATCTTCTACTTCATTGCATACACGGCTGAGCTTATCTTGGCTCAGTTTGTGTCCACCATGACCCTTGCATTGCCATTCTACGCATCCCTTTCCACAGGGGCCTTGATTGCAGCATATGCTGGCATGTTTGTCAGCCACTTGTTTTGCACGAATTTCCTCAAGTATCAGAGTGAAATGTCTTACAAGTTCAACATCCCCATGGCCTTTGCTGTGAGAGCTGCAACTTTCGCTGGCCTTGTTGCGTTCTACCTATACACATGAATGGTGCCGCTGTATCTTAATTATAGCATCTAAAGAATAAATATATCTATCAATTTGCCCGTTCTCTCAATGCTGTCATCAAGTAGCTCTCGTTCGTGTACGTGAAGCCGTTGACGTGCAAAATGTCACCGGGACTTTTGCCTGTGAGAAACTGGCCCTTGGCGTCTTGTGGAGTGAATGACATACCGGTGAACTCCTCGTCGAAGTTTTCTGCCAAAATGGGGTCGGTGATGATGGGCATGATTGGTGGGAGTATTGGAGTTTCCTGTTCCTGAGGCTTCTCGATGTCACGCCAGTCCAAGTGCCTGAAGAACCTGTGACCTTTGAACTTCTCAAACTCGGCATCCACGTCAAGACGCTTTGCCGGATCAGGTTGTAAGAGCTTCCTGAGAAGGTCTTTGGCATCACTGGAGAGGTAAAAGGGAAACTTCAAGTACTTCTTCGAGTGCACCACCTTATCCATGATCTTCTCGTTCGTGTGGCCAGTGAATGGAGGTGAACCTGTAAGCATGTCAAAGGCAACACAGCCCAAGGACCACCAGTCCACAGAAAAATCGTATTCCTTGCCCAAAATGACCTCTGGCGCCATGTACTGGGCCGTTCCAATCATGGAGTGGCGCGTCTCGTCTCTGGAAGACACTTTTGAGAGACCAAAATCGGTAAGTACCAAGTTCCCGTCTGCGTTGAGCATGCAATTCTCGGGCTTCAAGTCACGGTAGATGACCTTGAGGGAATTGTGCAAATAACGCAAGGCCAAGGCGATCTGGCCGATGTAGTAGGAGGCGTCTTTCTCGCTCATGAACTTCTGCTGAGCCAAATGGTGGAAAAGCTCGCCGCCGTCTAGATACTCTAGAATCAAGTAGACCTTGTTGTGGTCCTGGAAAGCATAGTACAATTTCACAATATTAGGGTGGGCCACCTTTTCCAAAATGGACTTCTCGTTGAGCGTCCGCTGGTAGTTTGTCTGGTGCACCTCGTTGTCGTTGATAATGAGAGAAGCCTTGTGCAACTGTTTCTGAGCAAAAAGCTTCCCGGTGGCCAGTTCCCTGACCAAAAGCACTTTCCCGTAGGAGCCCTGGCCAAGCACGGTGATTGGTTCAAAGTCGCTGAGTTTCGGTCTGTACCCGGAAACATGGGACGTTTTCAAAGACGAAGAAACATAGGATTCGCCCAATTCCACCTCGTACGCTGAAGAAACGCTGCTTCTGCGCCGAACCTTCATGGGCACGCCGTGCTGTGGCAAATCAGGCACGGTATCGGAAGCATCCTCGGGAGAATCGACCACAACAGGGATGGGCTGGGCAGGAGGAGTTGATAAAGAAGGCTCACAAGGGTCTGGGTCTTCGGGTTCATCTAAAAGACGGTAGTTGAGCCGCAGCATGCCGTCCACCAAGGGCGTCACGTCGTACTCGTCCATGGAGAAAATGTCGGACATCTTGGGACTCAAAGGGCTGCTTGACTGCGCTGGGAAAACATGGGCAGTTGGTAGTTGAGATTGTTTCGCGTGTTTTGAGACCGGAGTGTGAGGCGGTTGTTCATGGAAGAATATGCAATATTTGTTATTTATTTTGTAATATGAGTTATTTGTAATGTGAGTTATTTTGTACTATGGGTTATTTTGTAATTTTTCATATTTTCATATCAGCTCGGTATGCTTTCGACATTACAACTCTAGTCTATGCTTGACAGTTGATGGCTGCGAAAGCGCAGGGTCCATAGCAGCAGCTGTAGTGATATCACCAACAACTCTGCTTTACTGTAAAATTCAAAACATCTTCCAGAAATCCCGATCTCTTGTTTGTTTTCAAAAACTCTGGACCCCGTTCGTTGTGGCATCACGCTGGTTATCTAGAATAGCCGCTTGAAAACGTGGGCTACAATGCCGGTCGCAGCTGTTTATTCGCTGCTCCATTATTGACGATCCTCTTCTTTGTGGGCCCATTGTGGGTGGTGAAGATTCTTCCAACGGCGCCTTGTTTCCGAATTCTTCTTAAACTTGCCCTAGTTCGTGTTTTGCGCTGCTACCGATGTTCCAGATAAGCGGCGGTAATGCCGGATTGGGCGGGTGTTCTAGAAACGTCGCTTTCGTTGCAGAAGACAAGACATTGATTGTAGTGGGCATTGTGGAGCGTTTTGTGGAGCTTTTGGGGGATCCTTAGATGGTTCATTGCAGATACGTCAGGACGGTGGACTGTGACGTCGTGGATCGACAAACCTGCCGGGGTAGTGGATTCACGGACCTGTGATTTTGGTTTGTGGGATTAAAAAGTAGTAGATATGGGATTTCATAAAAAATTGGGTTCGTCTTTTGACCATGCAATTGAGCAGGCATCGTAAGAGCATAGCTGATGAAATAGATAGCCAGTATAGATGTACAGCACCAGCTAATTAGGACAATTTGGTCCGGTTTTGGCGTAAATCAATTTCCCCTCAACTCCTTCCTTTACTTTCCGTTGAAAACAACAGAAACCTTGGTCTGTTGTCCTGCCAATGCCTGTATTAGTTCCGATTTGAGCCCTTCCTAATGAACCCCCCAAACCATACCCCACAGACCGAAATACACCGTTTCAAAACATTCCAAACAGAAACAACCCCCTTTACAGCCACCCCTCCTTGTCCCAGTCCATTCCACCCTGAAACCAATTTTTTATGCCTCATCCTTGTTTTCACATTCTGTGTGAGGCTGTCAAGCCAAGTTAAAAACCGCGATCAGCTGCATAGTTGCAACCATTCCACACTCCGATCATCACCACTCAACGGCCACAAACAAACAAACACCCAAGCAATCCTCCAATTCACATTGCAATCCACTCAATTGCAATTCTACAGCAACTCTCCAAAAAGTTATCCAAATCTTGTATTCTCGTGTCTCATCTAACTATCTACATTACTTTCCCGACGAGACCCTGACGTAGATCTTGCTCTTCGCCTGGATGTATCCCATCATGAAATCTTCACACTCACAGTTGTTGCTCCGGCCACCAGGGCTCTTGAGAGTCACGCCCGGAAGCGTCAGGTCCGGGAACACTAGGGCGATTTTCACCCCATCTTTCGAGCACGGCAACTTGCCTGCTAGCTTGAACAATATCACATCCACAAGCTCGTTGGTGCTCCGGAGCCGGTCCTTGCGGAGCTTGAGCGCCACAATCTCTTCTAGCAGCTCTCGGCACGAGATCTTGAGCTTGAGCACATTGGCAGGATCTAGCTCTTCCTTGGACTTTCTCAATGTGCTGCTTCTCAGAGGAGGACTCAGGTGCATCCGGCGTTGGGTATGGATATGTGGAGGGATCTGCCAATTGGCGGCTCGAGGCACCAGGCCCAGAGACGGCTTTCTGGCAGAAAGCGTCCGTTCACGAGACTCGAGGCGGGTGGACTCCTTTTGTGCATTGAGCTTGCCTGGAGGAAGCCGAAGGTCTGCCAGCGTGAGGGAGTATCTGCGTTGTTGTTCGATTTTTTTCCGTGGATTCTGGGGCTTCAACAAGCTGAGCAGTCTGACAGGCTCGCTGGACCGCTCCATGGGAAGAGGAGGTGTTACGTACTGGGACGTTGGCCTCGATGGTGTTTTGGTATGAAGCACGGTATTCGTATTGTTTACCGGTGTCTTGGCAGGAGCGGTTGGACACTTGTGGCTGGGGGGTTTTTTGAGTTTGTGTTCTTCCTTCAATGCTGTGGACGACGTGGGACTGGAAGGGGCCGAGTCGAAGAGGGACGAATGGTCACTATCCGAATCGGAGTCGTTTTTGCTGAAGGTGCCGGGGACGTTGAGGACGGTCATTTTTTTGGGTTGGGAGCCGCCAGATTTGACTTTTTTTTCGATGGGTATAGCGCCGGACCGGGCTCAGGCAGAATAAACACTAACGGTTAGGAGGAAAAGGCCGGACACCGGAGGGTTATATGGAGCTTCTGCAAAAGAAGAAGTGGAGCACTGGTTTGGGAAACCTATTGTTACGCTTTCGAGAACCACAGAAGCAGTGCAGGAGAGGACCAGCCACTGAATAAAACAGTCCTTTGTCCCGCTGTTTTTTCTTTTTTATGGGTATTGTGACTCGCCAATCCGCATGTACGGTGAAGGAGCGCTGGCGCTGAACCCCGAATAAGGTGCTCGAGCGGTGGGCCGCGTGCAGGTCCACACCTTGATTATGCATTACCGAACGTACAAACCTCTCTCTACGCGCCGTGCATACATCAACCTACTACTGCCGCCAATAACCCTGCGGGTGGTGGGCCCATACTTTCGGAATGCGGCTGTTTGGCTTCTTTCTTGCCAGGGCTTCTGCCACACTGCCACACGTTTTCTTCGCTGCTGCCACGCCAATCTTTTCTTCTGTTATTATATGGGGTGATCCGCGTTCTTGGTTCGTTTATTTTGCGCTCCTCTGCACCACCCCACGCTATGTACAAGAAACTCTCTTTAAAAGCCCTCAATCCACACGCAGAGAAGGTTTTCCTACTGCCCAGATGCAGCCGGACTTTTCACCATCGGTCTTATATGGTCTCTTCGCCACTCCCCTGGGAAACCTTAAATAACGCTCGCTTGTGGCTGAAATGGCGTTATACTCAAAAGCTTCTTTCAACCTGTCAACGCCCAATTAGGCTTCTGTATTGCTATAACCGATCGGGATCTACCTCCATTCAGCAACTTCCCTCTCAATGCGTGTTTCTTCTCTTGCCTCTCGGATAGGCGCAAGTGGTGATCGCCAATGTTATTTCATTGCAAACCGGGCTTTGTCTAGGCTTCGCTGGGTACCTTGTTGAGTGCCTCATGCTGGAGATCTACGTCACTTCTCATGCTGCATGTGCTTGTGATAAGAAAGAGGTTGGTGGATTTCTGTTCCTGGAAAAGTGGAAACTGGCCTTCTTATTGTGTTGGTTGATGGGTGTTACTGAAACTCGCAATCTCCGCTTTCTCCATTTAATACAAAGGCCGTCTTGAGGGGTTTTCCGTACAAACAAAGTGCTTTCTTTCGTAGGACAATAGAATGCGTTCAGGCGGGACAGGCTAAACTACATTTGGGCCCAGCTCTCATACACCGGACGCTTGTGCCTGCTGGAACGCTTTGGCGAGTCTCGTTTCGCTGCCATGGTGGCTTCGCTCGGCTCAAGTTGCCCATGCTTCCTCTCTTGTATCTTTTTCTCATATATCCTCGTTTCAACCCATATATACTTTGTGGTGGCCTTAGCGGACCCGCTGGAGCTTCAAGTGGGCTTTGGGCCTGCTTCTGACGTAATCCATAACGCCGTGCTCATCAAGCCCAGACCTGTCCAACGCTTCTTCAAAAGGCCTGAGTGTGTAGTGGTGGATCAAAGCCGGATCCTCGTAAATCTTCTTCAGCACCATGTGCTTCAACGACTGAAGCGAGTGCAAGTCGCTGCGTCGAACACGCAAAATCACCTTGTCGTCATCCTCGTTGCATAGCGTTACCTTGATCCGAACATACTCGCTGTGCTTCTGCTTCACTTTTGTATCTTGCGTGATGGTGGCCGTGGAGGACGAGGCGGACATGTACGCTTCCTTGTGCTTCTTGGGCAGCAAAGGCCTGATTTGCTCATCCTCCTCGCTTCCAAAGAGCTTGGGTGGATGCCTGGCAAACGTCTGGTCTAGGCTCAAAATGGGCGTTTTGGGCTCGCAAGACAGGCTCTTGTGGCGGGCCGAATTCAGCATGAGCGAGTCTTCTCCGCTCAGGTAATGTGTGCTGTTGAGGCCCTGGCTTCCGATGGTGCTGACGGAATCGTGGCTGACGTCACTGGCTGGAGCTGCCACGTCCTTGGCTTGTGCCATATTTTTGTAGCGAATGTCGGGAAGGTCAATTGGGTCTTGCAAGGTGGTTTCGTTCAGGTTCATCTGGGAGTCGCTGGAATCGGTGGTTTTGGTTTCCTGGAGGTTCAAGCCGGCCTCGTCTTCACCGTAGCCTGCGAGAAGCAGTGAAAATGTAGAAAGTGTCTGAGAGCTCTTGGACTCTGCCATGGGCGATTCAGTTGTAGCGGTATTTTCAGCTTCTGGAGTGTTGGGCACCGTAGGAATACTGGATGGCGACACAAACGACGGCATCAATGCTGCAATGGAGGGAGAAGTCGACATTTGTCTTTCCTTTGGCGACATGGACAACTGCCTTTTCTGCTTTGGTGGGCTCTTTTGAGCTGGAGACGGCGTCTGGGCCACAGAAACGCTCTTGAGCGACATGTCTGCTCTCAGCAACGAGTCCACTATATTGACCAGGTCCTTGTGGAGCATGTCGTTGATTTTGGCGTCGGCAATCGGGGCGTCTCCGGGACGAATGACAATTCTTTTGAACTGCTCGTCGTCAATGAACTCGATAAACTCGTCACACGCCCGGACTTTTTCAATAATCAAAAGCTGTCTCAAGTACTTGCTGAGCTGGCCCGCCACTTCGAGCAAGTTCTTGATGTCCGCTTGGTTGGGCGATGTTTTCTGGTGTGTCTTGTCCATCAGCCCTCTGGGTTTGGGGAACACAGGAAGCGGCACCAAACGACCCAACGACGTTACGAGCGCAACGTGCAAATTGTAGAAATCCTGGTAGTACTTGCAGAGGAAAATCTGCTTGCCAGAGCTCATGGTGATGTCCAACCGGTACAAGTAGCGCATCTTTCTGTTCTGGAGCACCGTGTTGATGCGGATGTTTTTGATGTGTTCCTTCTTTCTCTGTGACGGCGGCTTGGTCTCGAGAAGCCATTCGAGTGTGATGGGGTTTTGGATGTCGTTGGCCACAATGTCAACGTACGACGCTGGAACTAGTCCACTGTCTGTCTTGTCGATGAATTTGACCAAAAGCCAGCCGTTCCCGGGTCTGTGGACGAGTTTGACATAGTCATTCCGCTTGACGCTGATTTCCACAGGCGATTCTGCCGTGAAGTCGTAGCGGGCTCTCAACACAATCACTGGATCCCGGGTAAGAGGTGAAAACAGTGGAGAAGGCTGTAGCGAACCCGTAGGAGACTTTGTGTTGATGGGAGACGAGATGGCGAGTTTCTTCAAGTTTCTAGAAGACTTGTACTGCTTGGCAGCAAAGAGACTCGTGGACATGATGAGGCTGCTTTGTGGAGAAAGGGAGCTGAGATGAATATGTCGATTGAAGATGAGGTTGTGGTGGAAGCAAAACGAGTGTCAGGAAATGAAGTCCACTTTATCAACAAGGATGTGGGTGTAGATCTCAATGGGCAGAACCAAAACACAGAAACAATGAGACCGGAGGGATGCTTCGAGCTCAGAACGCAAACAATAAATAATTATTGTTGATGAGTCCAGAATCCTTTGGGAAAAGCTTGGAGCAGACGGAGGGGTGAAATCTCTTCTTTTATCTGAGTAGAAGCCGAGGGGGCAATATGTAAACACTGGCGGACGAGAGACCGCTTTAAGGAATGAAGTTTATACTGGACCCGAGAGGTTAGCGGAGGAATGATATGCATACACTGTTGGAATGAATATGCGTGTTATGAGAGAGAGCAAAACACAACTATTGTTTGGAGATGCGTGTATGCATGTCGCCGCACGCGCCTCTCGGCCCTCTCTACAGGGCACTGCATCGCCTCGCGCGACTTTCCTGCTCCTACACGCGTGCACTGCAGTACCCGACAGCTTTATTCAATGTTCATTTCTGTGGCCTGTTGTTCCACCTGCGGGTTGCTGCGTGTTGGGTTTGGAGAGAATAACACCACAAATTAACCAGTACAGCTACCTCACCAAATGTGTGGTTTTCTTGGAAGCGCCCTTCGCCACAAACGTTTCCCATGTCTTTTGATGCACTGGCTAGACGGGTCCACCTCGGCAACGCTTTAGTGCCAAAATACGACGCCTCTCGTCTATCATGTTGTGTCACCTGCGCCTAGTTTGTAACTTCTCCTTTTTTTTTTTCAACCAATACCAACGCAGGAGCACCCTCCAGCCTCCAGCGGCTCAACCTCTCAGCGGCTCAACCACCTACACTCTGACAGGCTTTGTGAACGCCACGCCTAAAGGATAGCATGCGGAATTTGGAAAACTAAGCCTGCCCTGCCAACGGTGAAGGCTGGTGAATTGCCGTATTAGCATCCATACCCGATAACAATGAAGTCAACACGTTTTTTGCGCTGTCTATGGGATTGTTTAGGTCCTACACCAAGGGTGTTTACATACTTACGGAGACGGCGGTATCCCTCAATTCAGAGACATTCAATCCGATAAGGGTAAATTAGTCAATAACACAAAAAGAAGCTGCCCATTTCTGCACCACTAAAGCACGCTCTAAACGGTTCGTACATGATTATTAAGATTACAATTATTTAGCCACCTAACAGCTGGTGGGTAGTACAACGTCGCATAAAAAGCATAGCTTGAACAAGCTTTAGCCTCAAAACGCCCCTCACGTCACAAGCACATTCACATTCTCACTGGCCCGAATATGTGCTAGTAAATCAGTCAGCCCGGAATCCATCTCCTCGTAGGTGTCGGAGTCAGGCAAATTGATATAGAGATTATTGAAGGCCACTTTTTGGTATATGAGGCGCTTGAACTCAGCAAGAGACGTCACCTCGGGCTTATTTATCCTGACAGAAAGTTTGTCTTGGTTTTGTGTCTTTATCTGGCACCGTAGCTGGCCAGGCCCTAATTCGGGTGTTCCCTGAACAGACCTGCTGTTTAGGGAAGGAGGCAGAGAAAGAAGACTGGTGTCAAAAGAGGCCTCGGCCGAAGTAGGCCCGGAAGTTTCGGAACCGGTGGTGGTCCTCACGGACTTTGTCCTGGCAAACGGGTTACCATTCACAGCAGAAATCGACACCGGC